GACCCAAGGAATTGTTCATCGCACTCAAGTCTGAGCTGCACTGTCACCTTAGCTTTCCCTGCCGGCTCCTGAGTCAGGAGCGTGGGGGTCAGTGTGTCCCGTTTGCCATTTGCAGGCAGCGTGGGCCTTGGCAGGCACTGAGCTGCGTGGTGCCGTCTTCACGCTGCCACTTTTTTTTCTGTTTACTTTTTGCAGACACTTGGGAACGGTGGGCGCTGTTGCCTTGGACTCCAAAGGAGACGTGGCCTACGCCACCTCGACAGGGGGCATCGTGAATAAGATGGTCGGCCGAGTGGGGGACTCGCCCTGCATAGGTAGTGCTGCCGGAGGACTCCCGCCCCCCATTTCCTTCCCGTCATTACTGCTTCCCTCCCCTCCCCTCCCCTCCCCTCTCCTCTGGGAGGGGCAGCGGTTGGAGGGGTCGCTGGGGCGCTGCATGACCCAAGAGTCGGGGTGACACGGGGAGGGAGGTGGAGATCAGGAAGCTGAAGGTGCCCCCAAGCTACCCACCGTGCCTCCCTCTTCTCTCCAGCTCTAGTTTCCGGACCCACAGACTTAGTCCCGAATGTTAAATACGCCGCCCTCTGCCTGGGCACGGGCACAAATTAGCGAGCGAGAAAGCAGAGAGCTGGCGGGCGCGGTCATTAGATTTGAGTGGCACCAGAGGGATGCACCGCTCGCCACAGAAATGTTACAGATTAAAACGTGCCCCACGAGGACTGGAGCCGGTTCCCTCTCGTTCCCAGGAGCGGGTGGGGGGGGTGCAGACTGGGGGGTGTGGGGCAAAGGAGGAGCTGTCCTGGTGTAGCTGCCCCAGGCCTCCCCTCCCCTCCCCACCTCCACCCCGGCTCCCTGCATCCTCCTGATTTCAGAGTGGTCACAGGTGCTTACTGTCCACCTTGGCATCCCAAGGTCATGGCCCCTCCTCTGACCTTGTCTGCGCTCTGTGACTTGACATCGAGGTAGCGTTAGACTCGGACTGTGTGTGTGAACGGCCTCACTCTCGCTCAGGCAGAACCCCTCCTTCCCTCCGAGCAGGATCCGGCGGCTACGCCGACAATGACATTGGAGCCATTTCAACCACGGGGCACGGGGAGAGCATCCTGAAGGTGAACCTGGCCAGGCTCACTCTCTTCCACGTGGAGCAAGGTACGCGGACCGAGGCCGCGCCGTCTGCGGACGGACGGACGGTCGGACTAGTGAACAGAAGCTGCTTGTAAATAGATGGGACGGGCCTCACCCCTTTCTCCTTTGCTGCGCTGGTTGCTTTCAGCTTGTTAGCAGTACTGTCCGCCGCCTGTAGGGGGCAGCGGCGGCTCGGAGCCTGGGTGGGAGAAAGGGCCCCGGCTCAGAGGGAGGAGGGCCTTGCGTGGGGACCGTGGGGACCGTGGGGACCATCCCTCTTGGGGGCACTCAGACAGACACGGTCTACCAAGAATCTCTGGGTTTTCACACCGCAAATGATTTTTCCATCAGATTCCGTCGGAAGTAACTGACGCGCCGTTTCTCAACCTGCCCCTGTTTTCAGGAAAGACATTAGAGGAGGCTGCTGAGGTGTCGCTGGGTTACATGAAGTCGAAGCTCAAAGGACTAGGGGGTGTCATCTTGGTCAACAAAGCAGGAGACTGGGCGGTCAAGTGGACCTCGGAGTCCATGCCCTGGGCGGCCGCCCAGGCCGGCAAGCTGCACTGCGGCATTGACCTCAACGCGACCAGCATCACTGACCTTGACCCGCTCTGAGATTTCCTGGCGTGGAGACTTAGCCTGAGCAATTAGAGCTAGAGATGGAAAACTCTACAGTCTGTCCCGCCTTTTGTCGCCTTGCTCAGTAAGTAGGTGGCTGCTGGGTGAGGGCGGGTTCCGGAGGGATGAGACGCCCACAGTGACGTCCAAGTAAGACGAGCGAATACGGGGCCCCAGCCCGTCTCTGGAACAGACGCAGGGTCTCGGGTGAGGAAGGAGAAAGGCAGGAGCGTAGCCCAACAGAAACCGCCCTTGGAATTGGGGGACCCGCCCCCGAAGCGGCAGGGCTCACCTGCCCTGGGTGTGCACGTTCTGAGGGGACGTGAGGGGCCAGGTGGGAAGGAGAGAGCCGGGGGGAGGCGTCCGAGAGCCAGACCGGAGCAGCAGAGCCCGTGGGCGAAGTATAGTGGGGCCGCCAAAGGTCAGGTCGCAGCAACCACGGGGCTCCGGACAGCACTGGGCAAGAGACACCCTGGGCGGGGGAAGGAGGGGGGGGCACTGGTTTTCCTAAGGAAGTTCAGATCGCCCCTGACTCACTGATATAGAGGTTTCCAGATACGTTCAAAGGACCTGTGGTAACCCCTAGCGCCCTCATCTGGGGATGAAAGTGATCATGGGCCGGTCTGAGAGTTCCCTGGGGCTCACACATGAGCCTGTGGGCTCACTGCCCCATGTCTCCCCGCTCAGAGCAGCCTCTGCTGCCACACGCCCTGTGGGTCCTCACGGCGAGTCTTGGGGCTCGAAACTTCCCATCACTCGGCTTCCACGGGCCTCTGATAAAATGTGTTTCGGAAGAACAGCCGTGTGGCTAGGAGTCCCCGTGGACAAAGGCCGGAGCGTGCAGGCGCTCCCTGGTCGCCGTGCAGACGGGCGGGCGTGCGGTCACAGGCCTGAGGGGTGCGGGCGGCATGTGGGCCGGTCAGCCCGCCCTGCCTCACGGAGCGCACCCGGGAGGTCGGCAGAACTGAGCTTTTTGAGCGGGTTCAGGAAGGAACGAAACACGTGCCAGTACCAGCAGGGCCTATGGCCCCGTCTGCTCACCCCCGACAGTCACACGGTTCTGGCTCCTGTCCTCTGACCCTGCTCGGGACTAAAGAGGAAGAGGTGGCACTCGGAGGCAGAACCGAGATGAACTCTGCGGGTGACCCTGGGCAAGTTAACTTCATCTAGAAACATAGGTCACTCTGAAGAGTAAAGGAAATTAAAGAATTGCTCAGTGGCCCTGGCCGGGGTGGCTCGGTCGGTTGAGCATCATCCCAGGCACCGAAAGGTCACGGGTTCAATTCCCAGTCAGGGCACATGCCCAGGGTGCAGGTTCAACAAGAGGCAACCGATTGATGTATCTCTCTCACATCGATGTTTCTCTCTCCTCCTCCTCCTCCTCCTCCTCTCCTTCTAAAATCAATAAAAACAAATTTTTTTTAAAAAAGACTTGCACAGTGTTTGTCCTATGTCCTATGGACAAATGTCGGAGTGGCCAGGCCCAGGAGGGAGTCTGTGCGTGGATGTCCTTGAGAGCCTCCACATGCAACAGCTGCGCCTCGAAATAAGGATTTGTTAGCAGGTGCATTCGTTTGCTAGGCCTGCCGACCACAGTCCCGCGGACAGTGGCTTAAACACGGGTACGTTGTCCCAGTTCTGGGGGCTGGAGGTTCAAGATCAAGGTGTCGGCAGGTTTGGCTTCTCCTGGGGCCTCCTCACCGGCTCCTCGCGTGGCCGTTGCATCATAGATGCTGTGGCCAGGTTTCCCTTCTATAAGGGCATCAGCCAGATTCACCGAGGGCCCCCCCACAGCCTCACCTGGCCTCAGTCGTCCCTTCCAAGGCCCCATCTCCAATCCAGCCGGGGGTTTTGAGGGGACCCTATTCGGCCCATCACAGGAGGCTAAGCCGGGTTACTTCAGGGGTCGGAAAGGGAGAGGCTCTGGAGAAGATACGATCGGTAGAAAAGGGAAAAGGAAGGGAGGCAGGGAGGCCAGTTGGAGGACGTGACTTGAGCTTATCAGTTCTGCCGTTCACAAGGGAAGTGACTGTTATCAGAGACGCCGGAGGCTCGGCTCGGCATGGGGCCCCCTGACCTCCGAGGCCAAGCAGCCCCACTGAGCACGGACATGGCCACCCCTCGGCCAAGCCCAGGTGCGGACTGGAGCCCTGGACCTTGGTTCTGTGAAAAGTCGCCTCCACCAGCCTGGGCACTGCCTACGCAGAGACCACGGATGGGACTCTCCTTGGCCCCACACTGCGCCCCGGCCTCGCTCCCTAACTGCCGAACAAATAAATGAGCAGACAGTGTGTGAAGGAGAATGCAATGCTTTCCCACATCTGAGCCACTAGAGGGCAGCGAACTTCAAATGTCCTAAGGCAGCGGTTCTCAACCTGTGGGTGGTGACCCCTTTGGGGGGTCGAACGACCTTTTCACAGGGGTCGCCTAAGACCATCGGAAAACACATATATAATTACATATTGTTTTTGTGATTCATCACTATGCTTTCATTATGTTCAATTTGTAACAATGAAAATACATCCTGCATATCAGATATTTACATGACGATTCATAACAGTAGCAACATGACAGTTATGAAGTAGCAACGAAAATAATTTTATGGTTGGGGGTCACCACAACATAAGGAACTGTACTAAAGGGTCACGGCGTGAGGAAGGTTGAGAACCGCTGTCCTAAGGTCTCCACCGCCCTGAGCCAGGCGGTTGGCCTGGATCTGGGTCCGAACCATCTGCTCAGAAAACATCAAACCAAACGAGGGTTCGGGTTCCCGAGCCTCAGTTCATCCGCATACTACAGTTTATTTTAGGGCAGAATTGACAGAAACACAAGCCTGCCGAGGGGACAGGTGGAGATCCTGGGATAATGGGAGCCCAGAGGGGAGTTGCCCAGCAGGTGGCGCTGCAGTCGCCCACCTGGCCGCGGGGAGGCCGCCCTAACCTGGGGCTGTCACACAGCTCGTGTGCGGGTGCTTTTCCAAATGATGTTCTTTCCTACGTTCCTTCCTCGCCTGCGAGTTTATAAACTCTGAGGGCGGGAGCGGAGCGGGACGCGCTTCAGTCCTGTCCTCCCATCAGAAGTGGGGGGCGTGTGGGAGGTTGGCAGGTGGTCCTTCAGCCCCAAACCTTCACTGCCTTCACACTTGGTAGCAGCTTTTTTAAAAAATATATTTTTATTGATTTCAGAGAGGAAGGGGGAGAGAGAGAGAGAGAGAGAGAGAGAGAGAGGGAAACATCAGTGATGACAGAGAATCATTGATCGATCAGCTGCCTCCTGCACGTTGCCTACTGGGGATCGAACCGCAACCTGGGCATGTGCCCTTGACCGGAATCGAACCCGGGACCCTTCAGTCCACAGGCCGATGCTCTATCCACTGAGCCACACCAGCGAGGGCCGTGGCAGCTTTGAGGGAGCCAGGAAGCGCCCCCACAGAGCCTGTCCGCTCAGAAGAACACAGGCGTCCCTCCCTCTGCGGAGCTGTAGGCGGCACCAGGGAGGAGGGGGTGCTGGGCTGAGGGCCAGAGGCAAGACCAGGTGTCGGGAGGGGCTTGGGAGGAGGTTTGGGCCTGGAGCTCAGGTGGGGGTGGGGCTGGGAGAGGGTGTGGGTGCCCGTTCGCGGTTCCATCCAGAGTGTCAATGCCTGTCATACCCACATGGGCAAGCAGCCTTCCTTGCCCCACCCCACACATGTGCACCCACAGAGGCCCAGGAATGCCCTCCACACCCATGCGCCCCCCAGCAACCTGGTTTGTCTCAGCCTCTCAGCTCCCAAGTCCTGTGGCCTGAGTGACAGTCCTTCCTTATCACAGC